AAGTGACCCGATAGCAAGAACAACTTCAAGAGTACACTTTTGCTTGTCAGTACCTTCGCGGGAAACATGGCAATGCTGACGCGATGTCTCGGCGGCCGTCAGACACCACCCCAACTATTGTTGCTTGCCTGTTAGTGTCCGATACCCAGCAGTGGCCCACCTTACAAGAGAAGGATCCGGGCATTCAGTTGATATACCGCCGTCAACCGATCGGGCGAGAAATGAGTGATCAGTCTGTCGCTGCAAAGTGTCTATGGAACTTGTGGTCCAAAATACTGTTCATTGACGGGACACTATATCTTCGCTCCACGGAGACCGAACAATCGCGGATAGTAGTCCCGCGCTCGTTGATTACAGAGGTTGTCAGTCGTGTCCATCTGAATTTGGTCATGCCGACCAGCGAAAAACAGAGATATTGGTGGCCCTTAATCCTTCATGATGTCACCGTATTTTGCCGTCAAGTCAAATTTTTAACTAGAGTCAAAGCCGTGTTTCAAACCATTTTTTCTTCTGTCTTCATTCAGCCAGTCAACTTCAAATTTAATTGTTTCCTATTACATAACTGTGTTTCTGCATTTCCATGGGAGCCCTTTGGTATTTGTATGGATGGTACAGTGCTACAATTCATGGAACAAGCAAGACCATTTTGGTACAGTCTAGCTCAACGAGGTGTCTGACTCTCATTCAGTGCTCTGCTTCTATCTATGGTACTAGTTGCTTATGTTCAAGCTTAGTATGCATACCCAAAGGACTATGCCTTATCACCTTTGAAAAGTGATCATGAGAAAGTTGACCAGCGATTTGCTGCTCATGACCAAATTAGGTCCACAATTTGCCTTCCTATCGGCAAGTTCAATCAAGTATTGATTGCTTTTTCATCCAGAACTGAACCACACACATATTTGTGCACATTTGCCAGCTCGAAATGGATACGAAATATGCTAACTGGTCCATACCGTTTGGTGGTGTTTCACAAGAATCCTAGTGGCATCCACATTACTCTGCTTAGATTGTGCTTTGATATCACAACTCCTGATTGAATTAAGATTGCTTGACATCAATCGGTTGAATAATCTAGAACACATGTGCACCACTGCATTGAAAATGCTGCGATAATCAAAATGTATTTTGTGGCCTTCTGCGTTCCGTTCTTTCGAGGATTAAACTCGTTACATGTAATAAGGTTGATAAGGCTGGTGTCCCATGATCGTTTATGCTTCCACAAGGTACCAAGTGTGTTCGGTCTCCACTTTGCAGCTCGTAGCCCACAAGGGTACTTCTTCGAGTCTGTAGCTATCGTAAGTAGTCCGTGCTCGGATACGGAAAAGTTTTAATAGTAAGATATTGAGGAATTGATTAATATACGGTCCACATAAAGCGATCTATTAGTTTCTATTGTTAATCTATTGCGCCCAATTACGGAGGCTGGAAGAAAAGTAATTTACGCCATTTCTATCGTGCAGATATCCTTGACCATGGACAGAATTTTAGAAAACCTAAAATAGAAAATGTACTATTGGAATCAAACGTATTTTTTATATTCAGTTCAGATTATAGTCTGATCTCTCGCACGTTCGAGCAGACGTAAGCGCTCTATATATTCAAACACAGTCCCTGTTTGTCACCTTTGGGTGAATACCACTTTCCTTCCAGCAATATTTTGGTTCAAAATAAATTTCCCTGAAAATTTCAAATGTATATTCCATAACCCTTAGATGAGGCCGACAAAATTCATGCGTATTTGGCACTCTCAAATTTTTTCCGATTTCATTTCGTCCCCAATGATCATCAGTTTTAGGGTCAGCGATACAAGTAACCAAAACAAAAATAGTTAATGGTCTGAGACAGCCTTGCGCCGAATCAGTTTCTCCTTGTAGTTACTGGCATAGCCGCTCACAGGTACACCTGATCAAACCCGGTTTCACCTCTTCTTCTTTTGATTTGCAATTGCTGCTTGTGAGATGTGAGGGATAATGGTTTTTTTTATTTCGGAGCCACAAAGAGCAATATAATGCTACCTTATTCTGATTTTCCGTGAGAGTCCCAAATTCGTAACAATTTGTTGTGATTTTGTTGGGTATGGACATAAATTGAACGCAATCGACGCGCTAACGGATGCTCATGGTGATCTGAATCTACCTACCCTTTAACGTTAATCACTAAGTATATTGGAAACCTCGGAACCATTGAACAGGATACCTGACTCCTGAATATTGCATGATCAAACCTTTGGACTGTTGATCTACAGCAGGCTATTTATCCGATGAATGGTGTATGGGCTTGTTCAGTCTCATCAAGGAATATTCACGAACGAGACGTAGCCCAGCTGGAAACTATGGTGAATATTTTCTCCCAGAAAACCCGTCAATATCAATTGCGACAAGTGAAGCGAATAATGGATCTCTGATATCTACTGTCCTTAGTAAAGCCGCTTATTTATACGCCATACCACCTTCTTTGAATGAGGTATATTATTCGGCTTAATATCGACGTCCCCTGTTCAATGATTAAATTCCCCACTAAACTGCGAGCGTAATGATCAGTTTACAAGAACTATTCATGATCGTATCTGATTCTGCGACTGAGGTGAATTTAGTCCGAGATACAAACAAGCCTTTTGGATCCGAGTTCACACTAAAACTCCGTGGGATAGTTATCAACGAAACCAATGTTCTCTCGGCTGAGCAAAGGTTGTGCTGCTCGTCAAGTACTCAATCTAATAATGGAATATTTTCCTACTCGGAAACCTATTCGGCAAGCCTATCTCTCCTTATCATCATGATCGAATGTACTCGAACAAACGAGCTCAAATTGAATATTTCGGAATTCCTTTTTGCCTTTTACACAATCGATAAAACACTAACACTTAGTTCCATCGTTCCCTTTCCTATTGATCCTCTCATGCGAGCTCCTTAGAGAGATCAGGTCGCCAGTAATACAATTATGAATTTTCAGTAAATCACGATTAAAATAACCACAAGCAAGACGGACGAGTTCAGTGTGTTGCGATGCATGACCACCGAACAGTGTGTGCAGATGTTCGAGCACTGTGAACAAACTACTCACGAGTAGCCAAGACATCATTGGTAAAATGGATGGTCGAAAGCAGTCAAACGCCATGAAAAAGCGTGAGTGAAAGAAAGTCAGTGGTGTACATCTCTATTGGACGATTTTGTTCATTTGCATCCCTACTAAATAATTCATCCTCCGAAATAAATGCTCTCAGAAGATTGGTAAGGAGGACTTAAATTGAATGTGCCCACAATTTATTATCATGTGATCCAACACGAAATTTGAGTGGGTTTGATTATGTCTTCTTGGCATTCAAAGCTCTGTCATTGTTAGTTACACCTTTATAAGATTAAGAATTTGAAAGTCCGGAATTTCTAGCGAGACGAAAATAGCTTGTCCATTGCAGGCACTATAGGCTGAGCGCTCGATTGAATGCAACCTGTTTGTCACCTTTCAAACATAGTCGGTATCACGAATACTCACAGCTGACCTCTTATTCACACCAATAGTTTGGTACCTTCTGTCGCCACCATGGCCAACTCACCATACCCAGTAGCCTAACAACACCGCCGTAAGATCAGCAGTCTAAAATAATTTCGGCTTCGAATGTCCGCTGGTGTAAAGTCTCACATAGTGACACTTCTCTGCCCTCGCGCGCTTGCAAACTAGAGTGGTTTGAGCAATCAATCAACTACCTTGGTCTATCATAGCTCTATTTGTTCAACGTGGCATGCCAAGCTTTGTTATAACGTGAGTGATACAGTCCCCACAAGCGGATCGAACTCGTTACATCAGGTGATATTTTAAACAGACATTAAAGCAATCTCCCGTCTTTTTATATGATCGTCATCTGTCCAATTCATTC